GAAGAAAGGTGTCGACTTTGAAGAAATATGTTCTCCTGTTGGGAAGATGTCATCCATTAGAGTTGTTCTTGGTTTAGCTGCCCGCTTGATTTTAGTGGTAGAGCAACTTGATGTGAAAACTGCGTTCCTTCACGGTGACTTAGAGAGGAAATTTTTATGAAGCAACCAGAAGGGTTCAAAGTTAAGAGAAAAGAGCATCTGGTGTGCAAGTTGAGGAAGAGCTTGTATGGGCTTAAACAAGCACCAAGACAGTGGTACAAAAAGTTTGACTCTTTCATGATGAGTCATGGGTACACTAGGACTTCATCTGACCATTATGTGTTTATTAAGAAACACTCCAATGATGATTTCATCATCCTTCTGCTATATGTTGATGATATGTTGATCGTTGGCCATGATGCTAGCAAGATTGAGAAGCTAAAGAGAGAGTTAAGCAAGTCTTTTGCCATGAAAGACTTGGGATCGACAAAATAGATACTTGGTATGAAGATCTCCCGTGATAGGAAGAATGAGAAGTTATGGTTATCTCAAGAAAGCTACATTGAAAAGGTTCTTGAAAGATTCAATATGAGTAAGGCCAAGGCTGTTTGTTCTCTACTTGTAGGTCACTTCAAGCTTACAGTAGAGTAATGTCCTATAAGTGAGAAAGAAAAAGAAGAAATGAGCAAAGTGCCATATGCGTCTGCAATTGGCAATTTGATGTATGCCATGGTCTGTACAAGGCAAGATATTGCTCATGCAGTTGGAGTTGTTAGCCGATTTCTCTCTAATCCTGGAAAAGAACAATGGGCAGCAGTAAAATGAATATTGAGATATCTGAGAAGTACTTCTAAGGTGTGTTTATGCTTTGTCAGTGGTGAACCTATTTTAGATAGGTACACAGATTCAGACATGGCAGGTGACATTGATTTCAGGAAGTCTATTTCGGGATTCTTGATGACTTTTGTAGGGGGAGCAGTCTCTTGGCAGTCCAAGCTATAAAAGTGTGTCGCTATATCTACCACAGAAGCTGAGTACATAGAAATTACTAAAGGTTGCAAGGAAGCTTTGTAGATGAAGAGGTTTCTTGAAGAATTGGGCATGCAACAAGAGAACTCTATTGTCTACGACGACAGTCAGAGTGCCATCCACCTCTCCAAGAATTCAACATTCCATTCGAGATCCAAACATATTGATGTTAGATATCACTGGATTCGTGATGTGCTTGAAGGGAAGCAGTTACACTTAGAGAAGATCCACACCAGTGAGAATGGATCAAATATGTTGACGAAGACTTTGCCTAAGGAGAAACTTGAAGCTTATAGGCAGAGAGCGGGCTTAGTTGAGCCCACCAAATGATGCGGAAGGGGAGTTTGTTGGGTTCCGCCCCATTTGTGGGCTGGAACAAAGAATGGGCCTTAAGCCCAAATGCCAACAACAACAAAAAAAATGCATGCTGCTCACGTGGGCAACACACCAGAAAAATTAGAAAAGAAAAGAAGAAGGAGAATCGGAGAGCAGCAGGGGTGCAGCTGAAAAAAAAAACCAGATATATATATATATAAGGGGTAGGGTTTTGGTGCTTGTGCAAGACGATTAAGTGGCAAAACATTGTCGATTTCGGCTCAAATTTGTCGTGGAGAATCCTTGTGGCGAGCTCTTCCAATCTATTGAACTTGATTTCTCATTTAGCCTCTCTTTAGTACTCTCTTGAGTACTCCTAATTATTGGTAACCGAATCGAATTCGGATGCGGAAGCGTGGGGGGAGGCGGATTGTGTATAATAAAAATTTTCATAAAACTTTTGAGATACTTTATAGATTATATTAATTTATGCATGAATAAATTAATCTCATTAATTCATTTATTAAGAATTCAATTACGAATAATACCCGGCGGCCGATTAGGATGATAACTTGAGTTCTTTGACCTCGAATAATCCTTGCTCCAAAGCTTTGTGTTTAGAAAACCAATGTCTTCCATGTCAATTCCTAGAATCTACGAAGACGTGTGTGCGGGCACACATGAGACAAAACGGGTTAGAATAAACATTCGAATTTCCACAAACACCAACGCATGCACGATGTGAAATTTTTAGAGAAAAATTTTTCCTTCCCTCTAAGAGAATAATTTCGACCACCCTATTCACATTAGGGCAAAAATGTCTCATGCAATTTTATATCATTCTCTTATTTATAGAGTAGAAGTCAAACTTCTAGAATGAATCCAATCTCTATCTCCAAGATAAAGCTTGTTAATTATCTCCTATTTGAATTTGAAACCAAATATTCTCTTTTCCTTTATCCATTATGGCCGGCCAAGATAGAGGATTCTCATCCCTATGTAGGCGCCAATATCAGATAGGGAAGGAAGAGAAAATCATCATTTATCCTGTAGTCCAATTTTGACTTAAATTCAAATTTCAATTTAAGTCAAACTTAAATTAATTTGAATTCTAAATTGAACAACTTAACAAATAAGTTTAAATTGATAAATCTAGATGTGTTCAAATTTAAATTTAAATAATCACATTATTTAAATAATAATTAATTCTCAATTAATTATTTT